TTCACTCTAAATCGATGCAAACTATATCAGATTTTATACTCGATCTGGTCCGCTTAAAACCGGTTCCTGAAGTTAAGACTTCAAAAGATGCATTCTCTTACTTCCAAAGATTCTTGGAAAATCTTTTAAAAGTCAACGTACTTTCTATTCATTTTAAAACTTTTGCTGAAATCTAGTCTACATGATGCATAATGTTTAAATTCTTTCATAGTTTACATCAACATAGAGTGAATTATGAATCTTTTAGTTTTCGATGAAAATAGGCGAAAATGGGTTATTCCACATAGTATAAGTTTTCACTAGACGCTTGAATTTTCTTCAACAAACGTTGCCACGAGACTCGGCCTAGTTAAAAATCTATGTTTTCAATTAATTGTAAGATTATCAGAGCTAACCAGACTGAGATATATAGATCTCAGCAAAATCTATACTGATAGAGTACTATGGTAGCTAGCGACACCAGACTTGCATGCTTTTGTAGAGAACATTTTAGACTACCTAAACATGCAATTTAAGTTAACGTTTCATCTTGGCTTTGATATGTGGGGATCTCTTCTTTTTCCACTCATCACGTGCACCATCTGAACGTCCGATTTTAAAAAACATTCCTATGCCAGAAAATGCAGTCACATTTCTCTCAAGTATTATGAAAACCACGTTTTTCCACCACTTTTTGTTCTCGAGTTATTCGAAAAATATCCATGAGCACCATTTTTTTAAATGAATAGGGGTGCGTGTAAAAACGTTACATCTCTAACGATGTTTGTTTTTATTTTAGAAAATCGAATGCCTTCCCTTAATCCTTCGTTGGATCGAACTAATGTGGATCAGTTTTACATGAATCCAAATAATTATCCATTGATGTCTCAGCAAATGCCAATATCGAACATGCCAATAAATGGACAACATAGTATGAATTTTAATCAGATTAGTTCTTCACCACAACAATATCAATCCTCACTCAACAATTCATCGTCTCATTCTTCTCATCATTCCAGTTCAAATAGTTTATCATCGAGTATGAATAAACCAAAACGTTTAACGTTTCTTCAAGTTATTGCAATCTACAATGAAATAACAAATGTATGGCCAACAGAAAAATGGCTTACATTTATGAATAGCAATACAGATGAAACTTTTCTCACGTTAAATTGTCCACATTCGATGACAATACAAATGGCTATTGATCGACATTATTTATTAACAAAAAAGCAATATTTAAGCAAATTGCCAGAACGTTTATTAATTAAAAATAGTCAGCAAAATCCAGAAATATTTATTACACCAAATTCTACAATATCACTTGAAAACTTATTTTTAAATGAAAATGATACTGGTAATGTAGTAACATATAAACTAATGGCAATTATATGTGGAAATAATCCGGATATGATGTTTTATCGAGAACCAACAACAGACTATTGGTATTTTTATAGAAACGAAGCAGAACAAGCCACTTTATCCGTAAGATTATCAGATGAAAATAAAAAATTATTAGACAGTTTAATTCAAGAAGAAATTCATCCAATTACAAATTTATATGGATTTGATAAATCACTAGCAACTATATTCACGACTCCACAATTTTATGTTTATCAACCAGTTATATGAGTTGTGACTATCTTCCACTCCACAATTTCGATTAGAAAGTGAAAAAAAGTCATCCCTTTGGTTTTGTGGCATCAAATTACGTGAATGATCGATGTATTAATATGTTACTTCTAACAGAAAATTTTCTATCTGACAATTAAGACTGTGAGAATAAAATTTGGCACGAAAATGATGGTATTTTCAATGAATGATTGTGTGATAAAAAAGTTTGTTTTCTTTTATGTTCAGGCTCAACATTTTACTTCGTTTTTCACATTTTTTATCTCGGGTGGATACCTCATCTAAATTTAGAATGAAAGATGGAGAAAAAATACTCCAAATATTCCAGAACTATGTCATCTAAGTCATGCTTAGAGTAGATAGCTTTTTTCTTTGAAAAGAGCAAAATTTTATTTTTGTGCAATTTATTATCTATTTGTGCATTATATATACTTTCTACTGTTCCACATAAGAATGCTTAGAAGATTGATCTAGTGTTTGATAACAAATTGTTGTTTTATCTTAAAACAGATCGAATTTTTAGTAAATGACAGTTTATTATAAGATATCTATATATCTTTTTAAATTATAAATAATATTTTTATAAATCTTTTTTTATGTATTCTTTTTTCCTTTTCAATAGAAAATAACTGGTTTTCTAGTATTTACCAGATATACTTCTAACTATTTTTTTTGTAATAGTACTTTTTATTTCTTGACACCATCATGCAATTATCTGTTGTTGTTTGTTGTGATATTTTGTGATTTTTTCTCTTCTAGCTTTTATTATCCTTTATTTTTACTTTAGAACGTGATTGTTTATCAACGTAATACTTTTTGTGAATTTTATTGATTTGTTCAATATGAATTATATAGAACAAAATTTGTCAGTTTATATGGAGAAAATTAAAGTGTCATAGATGACATATCGAAACCATTAATATTTGTTAGATTTTGTGTTAATAATATGCCACCTGTATATAGGAATCTTTTAAAACGTAATGTTAATTGTTTTTCTCGACAATATTTATGTGCATTATGAATTTTTTTGTATATACTTTCGACTATCAATATTTAATGAAACAAGATTTTTGCTAAGTTAAATGAGTATAAGAACTGATTTCAACTACATGTACATATTCATTTTTCTTTTACTTTAGACCCATACCATGATAAAGATGAAGTAAAAAACAAAGATGTATCATTTGAAAAATAGTTTCAATAATAGTCGGGTTGAAAAACTCTCGGACTCATCTGATCTATCCAGTATTATATTAATCATGCTATATAACTAAGTAACTATTTGAAATTGTGATCTGTTTGTTTCTCTATTTTATGCATTTTATTTTATTTTATTTATCGAAGACTTCTGATCATACATGTATACTTTCATTATGCTTTTTGTTCAACTTGTTGTAAATAATGCATAAGAATGTCTGTTTGTTTTTATTATAATATTAAATGAAAACTTTTATTGTATTTTAATATATTAATATTATTTTAAACTCGTTTGTAAAGTCGAATTCGGTATAGTTCTGTAATGTACAGAAGTATGTCGTATATGTTTGGGATAAGTGAAGAATTTTAAAGATTACTTGAGAAAATACACATAAATTATTAAGTTTACAAAAATTTTGATATCGATTTAGTTTTGTATGTTGTTGTGAGAAAATAAAATAATAATTTTTTTGACTTAGTTTCCTGTATATTTGAGGTTAACTCTCATATATTCACCATCTTTTTCCAAATGTGATCTATGTCGAAAAGCTCAAATGATGATTCGTTAGCAGAAAATGTTTTGTATAACCAGCTTAAACTAGCTGGGATGGGTTAAATACAAGGGGGAAAAAGCGGAATGGGATGGAATGGGACGGAATGGGCCATTCCATACCACTCCATACCATTCCATACCATTTTTTACAGTTTTTTCCATTCTCCTTTTTTAAGAGACTTATAGAATGCGCCGGAATGGGCCACATTGGCGCCGAGTGAGAACTTCTATTCCCTTGACTGTAAAGGAA